ATCTTCGGAGCTTAGGAACTTGGTCTTCTTCACGTTCAGCCGGAGTCCATTCTCAGCGAGCACATCCTGCCACCGCTGCACCTTGTCCTGGAGTTCCTCCCTGCTGTCCGCTATCAGGGCGATGTCGTCAGCGTAGAGGATGGTTTTCAGTGGTCCCTCCATGAGTTCTTTTGCCATGACATCTAGAGTCAGGAGGAAGAGGAACGGGCTGAGGGCTGATCCTTGGTGTACCCCAACCGTAATGTTTACCTCCTTTGTCAAGCCGTGGGTGCGTACAGCTGCTTTAGCCCCATCGTACATGTCCTTCACTATGGAGATGAGGTGTTCCGGAACGTTACGTTCTCTAAGCGCTCTCCAGAGTACAGGCCGAGGCAGGCGGTCGAATGCCTTCTCAAGGTCCAGGAAGGCTAGGTAGCAGGGTCGCCGCTTCTCTCGGTACTTCTCCATCAGCTGCGATGAAGATGGCATCGGTGGTGGACCTCTCGGGCATGAAGCCGAACTGTTCCTGCGAGATAGGGACAAGTTCCCTCAGCCTAGTGTTGACCAGGCGCTCGTACAGCTTCATGGTATGGGGAGTCAACTTGATGCCGCGGTAGTTGGAGCACTCCGTCGCGTCCCCTGTTTGAAGATGGGGACGATTGTGCTGCTCCTCCACGCATCTGGCATCCTTCCTTCAGCCGTTACATTGTTTAGGAAGTCTGTTAGCCAACTCTCCAAGGGCCTTCCATGCCTCTATCGGTACCCCGTCTGGACCCACTGCTTTCCCAACTTTCATTCTCCCTAGCTCCCGGCGGACTTCATCCTTCGTCCAGGGAGTGATGGGACCTGCCGTCGCCTCTATCTGTGGGCTATCCTTGCGAGGGAATTCTTCGTTCAGAAGTCCCTCGAAGTATTCTTCCCACCTCTTTCCTGACTTCGGCTGGTTTCCTGAGAATGGCCCCGTTGCTGCTCTTCACAGTCTTTACGACCCTGATGTCCTGAGCTGCGCGATGCCGAGCTTTAGCCAGGCGGAAGACGAACTTGTCCCCTTCTCGGCCTTCCAGCTTGTCGTACAGGGCGTCCATTTCCGTATTCTTGGCCTATTCTTGGCCTTAGCAACGGCCGCCTTAGCGAGTCGCTTGCAGCTCTTGTAGGCAGCGTAGTCTTCTGGGCTCCGTGTCTTTTGCCAGCGTTTGTATGCTTCCTTCTTCTGCTTGACGATCCCCTGGACTTCCTCGTTCCAGAACCAGGCTGCCTTGTCTCCTCTGATACCACCTCGCGTCTCTCCCAGGACCTCCCTTGCACACTGTAGGATGACCTCTGCTGCGTAGGTCCAGGTGTCCTGGACTGGCCCATGTGGGTCTGGGAGCCTCCAGTATTCTTCGGCCGAGGCTATCCTTTTCTACCTTGCCCATTTTCCACCACCGAATTCTTCGCTCTGCTCTCACCCTTGTCTTCTTGGGGAGGTCTATGGCGATGTCTGCCAGGAGAGGCCTGTGCTGAGGGCCCAGCTCTTCCCCAGGCAGTATTGATATCCTTGACGGTTTTGAGAGACGATCTTCTGACCAGGACATGGTCGATTTCCGTTTGTCTCCCTCCACTGCTGTAGGTTACCTTTTGGGTCCTCCTTTTCGCGAAGAAGGTGCTGCAGATTGCTAAGTCGTGGGCTGTGGCTAGGTCAAGGATCCGTCCTCCCTCAGCGTTCTTTGTCCCTATTCCTTGACCTCCGTGCACCCTTTCTAGACCCCTTCTGTCCCTCCCAACATGGCCATTCAGATCTCCAGCTATGGTGAGATAGTCCTCTTCCGGAACCGATCTTATGGCCTCGTCCAGGGTCAGGTAGAACTCATCCTTTTCGGCTTCAGAGCAACCGGATTGTGGTGCGTACACGGTCAGTACTGTCCAGTACCCCTCCTTCGTGTCCATTCTCACTCCCATGCCAGGTCAGCTGATCTGTTCGACAGTGGAGACGCAGGGTCCTGAGGATTCGGCCACGCCTATGGCTACGACCATTGCCGGTTTAGTGTCGCTCCATTGTATTGAGAGTTTTCACTTCAAATCTCGCGGGCTTGCAGCCCTACCATCGCGTTTTCCTGCAGGCATAGGACTTGGATATTCCTGCGTCTCATGAGGTCGGCAACCTCACGAGACTTCCCGGTAAGCGACCCCACGTTCAGGGTCCCAATTCGAACTAGCTTCTTTGGCCGAGGTCGTTCACCCCTCGGTTAAGCCCTCGCATACTGACACAAAACTCGGGCGAGGTTCTGCGCGCCACTTCCGGGTGACGTTCTAGCTTTTACACTGTTTCTATTGCGACTTGTCATGGTTGTTGTGACGGGTTCCTCCATCAGCCGGCCTGTCACCTGGGCCTACGTGTATCGTTCCCATTCTTTGTAAATGGTTGCAAGGCAGGTTTGTGTGCTCGGCAGGGATCGAATCGCTGGTGCTCAGAAGTGGAATTATTGAGTCTACATCTTAAGCCACATCGGCTATCCCTTTCCGTCGCCTAGTAGCTGAGCGTGTTAATCGTTGCTATTGCTATTGCACCAGTCATCAGCAGCGCCCGTTTGCAGCCAACGGAATAAAAACATTTTCCATCCCTGAATATCTTGAATCGACTTTGAAGGGCTCTTTCTAATGAGCTCATGCGCATCATACACCGTAATAACATGCTGCTCTTGTACTAGTTACGATATTTGCCTCGGATTCTTTGTAGTGTTTAGGGTGTGTAAGAAGTGTGTAGGGAGGCGAAGAACTCAACGGCCTATCTGTTGGTGACTTCTGCTGCTCATTTCATCTCCACTGGAGTGCTGCTTCAAATACCAGGAAATCTCAGTTGCGTCACGCTGCTTGCATACGGGGCGCTGAGGAGGGCTTTGTTTGAAGTGGCGCTGGAATTCCTAATCTAACACGTGGTTTGAGTGATGCTCCATATCACCGACTTAGCTTTTCTTCACTCTATATTTCTATAATTTTTCTTTAACACCGCATTTATCCAACCGCTTTGCAGACGTTCTTCATCAAGCAGTTCGAAAAGGAAGTCGACCAAGGTAATTACAACTCATGGTTTAGGAAATGTTTCTAAAAGCAATGATTTTAAGTCTTCGAAGAAGTTCAAGCGAAGCAAAACACCGACAACTCTCTTCAAAAAGCACTTCCCTCGCCGTGGTAAAAGTAAGAAAGGAAGCACTAAGAATTCCCTTGAAAGAATCACAAACTCAACGAGCGCAGTAGCGGCTTCGAAGCAAGCGTCTGAAAAAGCATTCCAGCCACCGCTGGGTGAGCAACCGCAGGCACTGCACAACAACCAGTGGTGGCGGAGGCAACAGCACAAAGCGATCAGCAGCGGCTCCGACGAGCAGGCTGCAACGTGCTGCAGTGTCTCAGGTATAGCTGTTCAGTGCGTTCAGGACGGAAGAACAGTACAAATGGAAGATCATAGACAGGCTATAGAACTAGCTCTGGATACAAAACCTGGAACCGTCCCAGCCACGGCTTCGTTTCATGCTACCGCTTCGCATGTACCGAGAAGGTTAGTTGGAATCCAAATATATAGTGGAATTGCACATCATCAGGCAAAAGATTTTCTCGTTATTGGTAATTGTGAAAATGTTTCTGTGGTCCGACTGTTACATGATGGAAGAAAAGCTTTCAGCACATCTCGTAGTCGTCGTCGTTCCACTTCTCGTTCAACGTCACGCGTACAGATCCCTGGTCACAAACTGCATCTGATTGCACCTCTTATTCGTATAGCTGTTTTATGCAGCAGAATCAGCACTGAGTTTTCGGATCAATCCACTGAAGCGTGCTTCAGATTCGCTCGCAGCAAAGCGTTCAAGTCGATCGAGAGAGTGAGGAGCTTATTCGTGTTGCAACTACGGTTTTACTACACTGCAGTATGCATTGACCTTGATGCAGCGAAAAGCAGAGGTGGAAGTTTAGTCCAAGGTAAAGGTTGTAAGTTAAGATGAGAAATGGCAAAGTAGCTTGAATATTAAAAATGTATCTCTTAAGGTTCCTCCAGCTGTAGTGAATGTCAAGACGATGGACGATGATGGGTTCCAAGAAGAGAAAACCACACAAAATGTTCTCATTGGAAACAAGATGATCATCGTCGAAAGAAGATCATGCCTTTTGGTATATATTTATGACTAAATGGGTACATTTGAGTTTTTGTGCTATCCACGCGAAAAAGTTTTGCCGCGTGAGTGGAGTGCATTCAGACGCCTTGGTTCAGACGCGGAGTGTGGTACAGCTGAACTAGAGTCTTGCGAATCTACCAGTGGAAGCGTGTTACCGATCCACTACGGAGCGGTTCACCAGCTGGGCGCTGCCTTTGAGTATTCCAGATCGACGGCTTGCCTGTTCTGAAGGCGGTATGACAATCAGCGACTGATCGGTGGCTATAGCTGCGATACCTGCTTACTTTTTGTGCCGTCTGTGGCGTCTACTCTCGCCATCGACTCTCGCTCAAGCCGGCTGAGCTTCCTTCGCTCTGGGGACGGTAAATTGCAGCCAGTTTGTCAGAGCGTAAAACACTGGCCAGATACAAAACACTTCGCCTGACCCCCCCCCTCCCAATTCATTCTATGAGCGATTTCGCATTCAATAAGCTACCTCGGTTTCGAGTGAAGTTAGGTGCCTGCAGCATCACAAAAGCAGACAGTGAGAGCTTCATCTTACAGCTTTCGCGGCAAGGTGAAACTGTGCATAAAAAGGAAAAACAGGCGATGGTATGGGGAGAAAGTTGGCAGATAACCAAGACCCCACCTCTATGTAATGGTTGTCGAATAAAACATGGGGCGATATGGTATTGCGATTGCAGAGATTGTTTATAGAGGCAGTTCTGGCATTCTTATTGATCACTTCCAAGCCGCGAATCGTATGACCGCGCCACTTTGTGCAAGGAAGAGCTTCTGCACTTCGATTAATCACGGGTTCAGTTTTCAAGCAACGTAGCGGAAATTAATTCTAAAAGGAACTTGTTCGGATGCGCTTGTCACAGCATGTCGAAAGGAAACCGGCTGCTTCACGCGCTGCATTGGCCGATACTCCCAATAGTTCTTACCTTAGAATCTGCAAGTGAAAGTATGAGCTTAATCTCAGCCTTGGTTGAAGACACGCCCCGCTTTCAAAAATGCTCAGTTATGCGGCGCAATTGCTAATGACAAGATGATGAAGAACACAAAAGAATAAGAAAGCAAAGAAGGTTGTTTGAAATGCCTTTATATTGGGTTGGACGGAAAGTCTTGCAACACTTTGATTGAATTGTTCTAGAAAAAGACCAAAAATCATTTTGGATGTTTTTATCCCTGATTAGTGGAGACTGTCCTCTGGGGTTTCTGCACATGGGTATATCATGACTTTGGAAGTTTTCAAAGCTTAAAAGTCCCTCAGAGATCGAGGTACTTTTCGACCTATCCCATATTATGAGTTCCTGTAGGGCCACTCAGCCGTAGTCAAGGAAGCTAACACCTACGTTGTCTCCGCGGAAGGATGTCGCTTGCCAGGCAGAGGGTAGCTTTTGCATCAGCGCTTCTTGGACTTATTTAATTCGGAGGTAGGCAATGTATAGGTCGGCCACCAGCACAGAATGACGGCCCTTTACTCAAGCTTCTTGAGGCGCAGCCGAACGTAACCACCAGTAAGTTGGCAACCTCTCTAGGCTCCACCTAACTGAACTGCCATGCTTCTCCGCAATCTCGGTCATGGAAAAATTGGCACTAAACTAACTACTACTACCCTAATTTCCCGGAAACATGCCGTATCTTGAACGAATTTTTTCTTCGGAGGCAGATTTGGCTGAAAGTTGGGCTGGCCTGAAACTGCAGTTCCAGGCCAAGCGGATGTGATATTCGTGTTCAGGAGGTCGAATTACCCCTAGAACCCAACTTTCAGCCAAATCTGCCCCCGTAGAAAAAAGTCGATCAAGATCCGGCCTGTTTTCGCAAAACTGGGGTAGTAATAGTTGAATAGTGCCGGAAAAAATTTTTGTGAAGGATGCCTCATGAGTTGGACCCGTCTGACAAGTCATACCGAATGACCGTGACTGAGTTTTCTTTTCTTGTACACACTGGAACAACATTTGTGAGATCTTGTGGTTGGTAGCGAGTGTTGGATACTTCGTAAACTATGCCACACGTCTCACGTCTACTCAAAAATAAGACTTACCACTTCTTTTTATCGTAGTTGCCGTAGTTCCATGAGAATGGAAATGAGAAGCTGTGCAAAAGATGGGCACTAGTCCTAGTCATCAATGAGGGGAAAGTTTGATCCGAAAATTTGGTCGCAGGACTCTCCATCCAACCTAATACGTTAGAATCCCATGCCGAACCGCGTTTGAACCTGCAGCAGTCGGATCGCCCAGCTTTCACGGGGCTCCTCGTTGTGGAAAGTGTGTCAAATGATGAAAAGCGGAACGGAAAACAAAGAAAAGATTCACGATTACACACATCACCTGCTTCTCGCTAATTCCTGCCTTTCAACAGCGATCTTCGCATGAAGGTTGCAACATGCAATTTCAAGCATTGTAATGATATGAGGAAGGGATGAAGTTGAAGCATTGCGAATGTGCAGTGCGCAAAGTCATTTTACTCTCGAAACGTTCTTACAGCGGTGGATCCCTGGAGGTCAGTAAAGAGCCAACTTAATTCTATTTGATCTTCAGGTTAAACCGTGCATTACGCTGGGAACCTGAGGTTCACCATGGAGAGCACATCTTCGTACTGATCAGGGCGTGAAGCTCCTGTTGGAAACATATTTTGCATGATTTGGTGTCACGCATGAAGTACAAACTGCCTTTCACTTTTCCTGTACGCAAGAGAAGTGAAAAAGAATTCTGTGGAGAACAATTGTTTTTTGGAAGGCCTCTAATGAGCTGCCAAATCTTCGCGACTCTGGACGGGCAACTTCTGAGTGGAGGATCTTCGAGGATAAAAATGACGCATGTAGGGTCTTACTTGTAGCATGTGATCAGGAGTGAACGGCCTCGCGAACGGTTCCTTTAACGATCGAGGCGGTAAACGTGAAGCACGTAGCGGTCCGATAACGTATGGAAGCGTGCAGGATCTCAGTCAAAGGTGACAGTAGGGTTGATGGTTTGATTCCCATCGGGTTGCAGGTTTTTGCATGTTTCGCTATTCTGGTGTCCACATATTTCTGCGCATGTGTATAACATGGATATCTGCCGTTTAAGGGCACATTCTTACCCCGTGCATCGGTCGTTCAGCCTTCACAATATTTAGGTACGTTGAGAGCGTGTCGTGGAAGGTAGATGGCAACAAAATAGGCAGGGGATATTTATTAGGAATAACAAACATAACCAACTGAAAACGACGGGTTTATATACTCACTTGAGACCAATAATTAGGCGCGAAAAGTACTACCTTTACGATAGGTAACGATCAGAAGTTATTGTCCATGGTGGGTCTGTAGATCACTCCGAAGTCTTACACCCCCCTTTTTGAGCATAGAAACTAAGGTAATCAAGTGATCTCACGATCATGGTAGGTCCTCGTGTGGGGTACACCTGGAGCCGTGATAGGAGGACGTCGCGTGCGTGTCGATCGTCGTGTGTGGTCCTCGTTTGTCGCTGTTGTTGTGACGTCCTGGCGGCACTCAACTTGTCGTAGCCGGCATCGAAGTTGACGATTGCAAGTCGAAGATCTCGAACAGTGTTTCCACATCCTTGTCGTTGTGCTGTGGTGGTACATCGTGATGTCGGAGGCGGAGCTGATTGGCATGTCGGACACAGATTTTGCCTCCAAGTAGAACCTTGTAGTGACTTGTCCTATCGTTGAAGCACTTTTCCACTGTGCCATTCCGATTGATTTCCGTTGTATGTTCGTACGAACACGCCTTGGCTCAAAGAACGTCTCTGGGCGCCATGATGCTTTGAACTGTAGCTCCATTAGTGTGTTACGCGTTGGCCTTCGTCGTGGAGTCGGCTTGAGCAGCGAGAGAACAGTTCGCAATTTTCTTCCAATGAAGAGTTCAGCCGGCGACTTCATTCCATCCAGCGTCGGACATGCGGTTGATCGATATGTTAGAAGAGAATTCTGTAGCGTTCCTTCTCCTTTCAGCTTTGACAGCCTGCTCTGTATCGACAAATCTTTCTGCCTGTCCGTTGGATTGTGGGTGGTATGAGGGCGAGAAAAGATGTCGTATGCCGAGGTCACTGCAGAACCTCTTAAACTTGTCCAAGGTGAACTGCGTCCCGTTATCGAAGACGAGCCTTTCCTTGGATTTTAACCCAGCTTTGAAAACGTGGTATACTGTAGGTGGACGGCAATAGACTGGAGCTCTAGCATCGATGGCTTTTCAAAGGGTGGTTTCCCTCCCGGTCATCAGGAAAACGTTGACTGTTATGCCAACACGCGAGCCAGATACTGTTCTAGATACAGTTCTCGACTCGGAGTGTTGGGAAAGACCCCCATAACCTGACTCAAAGAGGGAGGACTTTTTTCTCATTCGTTGGTACCAGCTATTTTTCCTTGACATCTCACTCTCAGCATCCTCAGTGGAGAGAGAAACGGAACAACAACATCACCACTATACCTTTAGAAATAAATTGGAAGTCGTCGTCGCTTGCGGACGGCCAGTGGGCCCCAGCTCGAGCGAGCCGCGCTTTCCTTAGGTGTCTTGGCTGCGAAAACACTGCATCCTCCATGCATGCGGGCATGATTACCTTGCCCGAAAAAGATGTCGGAACATCAAACAAACGCTGCGCGTGCCCGAAGGCAAAAATTTTGCATCGAAGATCTCACACGATGCCAAGGTTTGCGGGCAATAGAGCGTAGATGATTACCCTCTACGAATTCTCTTGAATTCGACAAAACTTCTCCACCATCCTTCTGAATTCGACGTCAACGAATGTCATCACCCAACCTGAAGAAAAATCATTTACCGTGAAGCAGTCTGATTCTCGAGCCCAAGGTCAAGTATCACTTCGAGGAAAATCACAATTTTCATCCAGCCAAGCGGTAGGCGGGACTCTCCATCACGGGGAAGGACCATCCGAAATACGCTAAAGTTACCCGTAGGAAATTTTTAACGAACAGTGAGCCTCCTAATGAACACCTTTTCGTTCAGAACTCGAGAACTAGGGTTTTTTCCGTTGCGTTCCTCCCGGCGCGAATTTCGGTTTGAGAGTTTGC